TTGAACACCGAAGATGTGGTCATTGAACCAGGGGCTGCAAGCAAAGTCTCTTCACCCGAACCCGGCCGCTCGCCGCTACCTGATAGCCCAAGCCAATCACTGTCGCGACCACTACCAGCAGACGAGGTAGAAGCAGCTGTCCAAGCGACGCATGTAGCTAGTGAAGGAGGAGTCACCACTGCAGGACTTTATATCGAGACGAATGACGCGCGCGAGTCTGTTGTGACAGGCGAGGGCCCACTGAGTGCCGACACTGCCACGGACGCTTCTCGGGCAGCTACACCCACGCCTGGACAACCTTCAGCACTTCGTTCTTTGACAACACAGACGCGCTCAGAAGTACCTCAATCGGAAGAAGGTTCTCTCAATTTGAGCCCAGAGCCAAGCAGGGACTCTGGCGAGAGACGAAGATCAGGCGTACAGGTCTTTGCTGGCGTCGAAAGTGGCGTCAATACTCCCGCTTTCCCAGGACCGGCACCTCATGGTCGAGGCGTCGTCAAAGGCTTCGACGCTTCGCAGACGTCCACACCTGCTTCGCGTACTCCGACTGCGCCAGCTAGTGGACGAACGGCCTCTGCAGCGGCTGGTCGTTACCAGCCGCCTTCTGGACCGTTGAGGCCCGTTACCGTCACCTGGCGAGGAGGCGGCAGAGAAGTCTTTGTGACTGGAACGTTTGCAAACGAGTGGCGATCCAAAGTGCCTCTCAAACGTCCAAATCATGCGCATGGAGGTGGCAGAGCCAAGACAGGCGATCACATCATCGTTCTACATCTCGAACCTGGAACGCATCGACTCAAGTTCATCGTGGACGACAGATGGAGAGTCTCGAGGGATTTGCCAACGGCTACTGACGGAAGCGGTAATTTGGTCAACTACATCGAGATGCCCATCTTGGACGATCCGGACCGGAAGCCTGAGGACGCAGGCGTTGTGGGCGTCTCTAAGCAGCAACGCAACGCGCTTGCTCCGGCGGGCATGGGAGGTCATGCCACTGCACACGACCTCCAAGCTGCCAAGCGTCAGGCGGAGGTCAAGCGCGGAGATCTAGACGAGGTATTTGGACCGGACAAAGGTGAGCCGGCTTGCACTGTTTGGCATGCCTAAGACCGAAGCGAACGCCAAGCTGAACCTGCACATCTCGCCATGTTTCCAGCACAAGAAGAAATTTGGACGCAGGATATCCCTTCTACGATAACTCGCGCCCAGCAGATCGAGGAAGCGTACCGGGACGCGTGCGAGGCGGCGGGTTCCCGAGGCAGGGAACCGCCACCTGCCCCCTTGCTCCCTCTCCCTCCTTTGCTACCTCGTCAGTTGTCTACCGTACTGCTGAACGCTTCGCCTGCCAATCCGGCCGTGGCTCAAGCGACAGGAGGAACAGTCGACGACTTGAGTCTTCTTCCCGCCCCACCCAACTCGGCTATCCTGCATCACTTGACGGCAAGCGCTATCAAGAACGGATGCGTCGCCGTCGGCACCACGATCAGATTCAAGAAGAAGTACGTCTCGACTTTATATTATAGCCCATGCGCTTGAAGCACATTTCGCTCCCTCATCCAGCCGATGCTCTCGTCTTGACAGAGTCCCGTGATTTGGCGCTGCAAGTCACCACCTTCTGGCCGCTATCGCGTCCACGCTCGCACCTTATACAGACATCCGCCTAACCGGCCAACCCGAGTGTCGCTCGCACCTTCCTGCAAGCGCTACCCTCTAGCCAGTCGCTCGTCCATTCACGACCTTTCTTGCTACATACCCAATCTGTCGCTGCATCCAGGCTTTCGTCAAGGACGTAGACCAGACAGAACTCCCTTTGCCCGGTCACACATTGTACCACCACCATGGAACCTTAGCGTTCTACGGATGCTAGACATCTACAATCATCGATTGCTTGCCTGATTGCCGAGCTGAAGGCGCCCTCAAGTGGGGCTCCGCGCGCTGCGACAGCGGAAGGCGCATGTGGCTTTGGCAAGAATTCCGGACAGTGTTTCTTTGTTGTCCATAACGATACTCAGAACGGATAGATTCAGGTGTTGGCCCGACACTTGTTTCTCTGCCACCTAGAGTTTGTTAAACGGGGAGGACTCGTCTATAGGATTAGTGGCGGCTATAGTAAGTATAGGTTCGTGGCCTGTGAGAGTGCCACGTGGTAGACAACATGCAGCTGGCGCGATCGAGAGCGCGTGCGTGGGCGCGTGCCTAGGCACAACGCGCACGCGTAGGCGGATGAGAGCAACAAAACAACACCGACCCGCGCGCGCACGCGCGCGCGCTCAGTCCCGATGATGCGAGCACGCTTTGACGCGTCGAGTCAACGTCTACGGAGGCAAGGGTGAAGCGATCTCGCGCGTCTTGGCCTCGTGACTGCATGGCTGCTTCTTTTTGGTTCCATTTGACCGTCATCACCACGCTCATCCACTCATTCACGGCGCAATCTGCTTGTCACTTCTGTCGGAAGGAAGATCTGTATTCCAATCCCTCTCCCATCGCACCCCACCCACCGTCTTCCACAGTGCGCACGCGCGCATCCATCATGTCGCAAGGCGGAGCAGGGCGTCGTTCGACGCTGGCTTCGGTAGAGAACAATTGGCAGCAACCAGCAGCTCCAGCGTCAGCTATCAAATCATCCAAGACATACGGAGCAGGAGGCAATGGCGGAGCATCCATGCTGCCCCGTCAGTCGAGCATCGCCCGCGCTTCCTTGGCACCTGGCAGATTGGGAGGAGCGGGGGGAGAAGGATCTCGATTGGCAATGAGCAGTGCGGGAGCGGGAGTGGGAGGATTGGGCGGCTCTGCGCCTAGATCTAGTGGCGCGCCTATGAGTTATCGGCAAAGCACTCAGCAGCACGATGATGGACAGTCGTCCGTCCAGGCCACACCGTATGGATCCAGAAGCATGGGAATGGGCATGAGGTCTAGCGCGGCGGGCAGCGTGGCAGGCAGACAAAGCGTCAGTGGACCGACGCCAAAGTGAGTCACTCCTCACCACAGGTTGATCGCTGCAGCTGCTGACCGTTGCACTTTCTCATCGCAGCGCCATGCGTAGATCGATCGGCGGGAGACAGTCCATGGCGCCAGGAATGGGTCCAGGCATTCACAGCGTCAGAGCGCTGACCGAGCCGAGACCACTGCGATCTCGTCCATTCATGGAGGAAGTAAAGGAGCGCGTATTCGACTTTTTGCAAAGGACCGGCTTCAGCGCACCCGGCTTTTCCCACAAATCCATGAACGATCCGACGCAGACGCATTTCCTTTCCATGTTCAGGCACATTTACAACAAATCCATCGACAACACGTACACCTTTACAAAGGACAACAAGAGGGAAGCGGATGAGATCATCTCACTGCTCAACGATATCAAATACCCGCTCATCGGAGATCTGAGCAAGATGAAGCTAGGTGCAGCTGGTAGCGCGCAGAATTGGCCCAGCATCGTAGCCATGCTCGACTGGATCGTTTGCATGAACAGCACCTTTGCCAACGATACCAAGTACGGCGGTGCTGGCCCGTTGGAGCGCGAGCTCGAAGACGAGCAAGACGACCAGCAGCTATTCTACAAGTTCTTGTGGGAATGCTACGACAAGTTCTGGCAGAATCAGGATACTTTCCCAGACGAAGTGGCAGCGCTGGATCAGATATTTGCTGAGCGCAATGCTGGTGTTACGAAACAGGTGGAGGAGCTCGAGTCTGAAGAGCTCAAGTTGGATCAGCAACTCCGAGAGTACACCGATCACGACTCACCACTGACGAAGCAGACGCGCGAGAAGGAGCTGCTGGAAGGGGACATCACCAAGTTCATCAAGTATCGAGATGACATTCTGTTGCCCAAGCTGGCCAAGTCCAAGGGCACGCTGAAGGCGCTCAACGAGCAGATCGAGCAGAAATTGACTGAGCTCAGGCGCGCAGAGCAAGAAGCTGTTACGCTCAAGAAGCAAGTCGACTCGCAAGGTATTTCCGAGTCCGACTTTGACGCCATGACCAAAGAGAAGGAGAACCTTCTCAAGCAGTCGCACGATATTGCAGAGGAGAACAATGAAGCGGCGAAGAGGTCTTGGAACCTTGAACTCGAGGTGTCAAAGCTTCAATCTAGAGTTGAAGAGCTGTTCAAGACTTTCAATTCTCTTGCACGCAAGGTGGGACTTTTTCCCCTTGACCTCAACGATGGGTCAGGCAGCCAGTTGCAAGAGCTGGAAATCGTGCCCCGCAATCCCTCATCCATGCTCCCGCCCGGTGTAGACATCAAGAGTCTGATCAAACCTGCGATCGAGCGGTTGAGATCACGAGAGGTTGAAAAGTTCAAGAAGATCTGCGAGGAGTGCTTGGTTGCTCAGGACAATGTGGACAGAATTTCGGAAGAGCTCACTGCCGTGCGGGAAACGCACATCGCATTGCAGGGTCGACTAGACAGGCAGCAGGAAATCTTTGAGGAGACGCTAGCGGTGAGTAGCGCTGCTAATTGTGGCGCGCAATTGAATGAGACTGACCACGTGCCTTGCTGTGCCTGCGCTTTCAGGTAAACGGTTCGGAGCATCAAGCCATCGAGAGCAAGAAAGCAGACGATGAAGCCAAACTGCTCCAGATGCAGCAAGCCGGTCATCTGGCCATGCAGCATGCCGAAGCTAGACTCTCCTCCCTCAAGAGGCAACTACAGACTGCAAAGCAGAATGATGAACAGCATCGCCTGGCCTTGCATAGGGAATTGGAATCTGCAGCTTTGGACGTGGCCAACCTCAAGATGAAGGTGGCTGCTGCTATCGAGAAGCTCGGCCAAGACGCTCAACGCTTGTGATCGAGTGCAGCGCAGTCTTGCCTCGCCACAAACCTTCACCTTTCCCCCGCACAACTTTTCACTTTCTCACATGTATTTTCATGGGGTATTCCCTGGCTCTTCCGTGTAGGCCTAATCAGAGGCTGTAGCAAGCCGCTGATCTCAAACATGACATCCTATGGCAATGACGGCGGCCATTTCAGACGTCAAGCACCGACCTTGGTATATTGATTGAATACTTGCAGGAAATTGGTACATGCGTACGCGTTGCAGGAATGTATCACTCTGACGGGGCATCCTGCTGTTCCTGGTTTTGCTCCAGCTCTTCTTCGGCCTGAGCATGTACTAGCATCCCGCAATCCTCGATCCACTCGGCATATGAGTGCAGCACCTTGACATCCGCGCTCTCCACGCTCGAAGCCCCCCTCTCGCTCAATCTGGCATTGCGCCAAGTCTCGATGTTTCCCACAACGAAAAGTGCTCTCTTCGCCCTTGTCAAAGCGACGCAAAGACGTCTGGAGTCTGCTAAGAATCCTACAAAGCCTTCCTCGCCGGCACGTGTAGACGAGAAGATGATGGCTTCCTTTTCCCTGCCCTCGAACCCGTCCACCGTATGCGCTTCGACCTTGGACAGTTGCGACGCCCTAGCTCTGTGCTTTTCGCCAAACAGATCTTGCAAAAAGTCCCGCGCGCTTCTTGCACTAGAAGAGGAGGTCCATTGCTTTAGCATCTGTTGAAAGTGGCGCACTTGAGCCGCATAGGGAGCAACGATGCCGATATCTTCTCCCCGCAATGAAGGGTTGCGAATCAACAAGTCGGCCAGCACCCGAGCAACTATTTGGGCCTCCTTGACATTGATCGTCGACTTGTCGAGCGCCTCCTCTTTGTGCTGGTGACTAACGAACGATACTCTTGCTGAAACATCAGAGGGAGTCTGACTATGTTCAGATGACTCGACCTGTGGCAGGTACTCGGACTGAAGAGGCTCGAGAACATGTACATCTTCGCCATCTTCCAGCGCTCCTTGGTAGAATGCTCGATTGGGGAAAGCTGCAATGTCTGGGTGCATCCTATGCTGCACCCCGAGCATGGTGCTAGGGACATCTCCTCTATCGATAAGCCTTTCGAACAAGCTCAGAGACGCTCCTTTCTGCCTGGCCTCAAAATTTGTGACGACTGGCGGGAGCTGCTTGTGGTCACCAATAAGCGCCAGATGCCTGCAGCCCTTCATCAGAGGAATCAGGCTGGTAGCTTCAGTAGCCATGCTCCCTTCGTCGAAAAACACGACCGGAAAGTCGATAGGGGTGAGGCGGTTGGAGCATGAAGCGACGGCGGTGCAACACACCACATCTGCCTCTCTCAAGGCTTCCGTAATCATCTGCTGTTCCAAATTGTACATTTGTCCTCGCAACTTCATGATGCGTGCCTTGAGAGCAGAAACATCTTCTCCTTTCGATGTCGATGAGGTAGAGTTGCCAAATTGCAGGCTCTTCCACATTTGGAAGTTGGAGCTTAGGCCGCCTTGGGAAGCCGCTTCTGCCTCCGATATCGCCTGCCGCACTCTCCCGACATCCGCTCTGATCTGATCAAGCCGAGGCTTCTCGGGATGTTTATCTATCGCATCGTCCAATGTCGTGCCGTTCAGGTCCGATCTGGCGCGAGCCGAAGATCCAGCTCTGATGACTTTGAGACCAGCTTGTAGTGCGCCCGCTGCCAGGTTGTCCACAGCGACGTTTGTGTGCGCGCACAACAAGATGGGCTGAGGGACTTCGAAGTGCTGCTTTAGCAATCGAATTGCTGCGACGATCGTCCGGGTCTTTCCGGTACCGGGGGGACCCTGCACCAGACTGAGCCTGTTTCCCAGCATGGTGGCAACCGCCCTCTCTTGACTTTCGTTGAGGCCCAATTCGGGATCACCTTCCATTTGCAGTATCGGACCTGGCCCAAGCCTCCTTCTCACCCAGCTCTCTAATCGCTGATCACCAGCGAAGGCGCTCGCACCTTCCGCTGGCGCTAAGCCCAGCAGCGCATCGGCCACGGATGTCCCGCTGAGTATGTACTCAGCGTACGAGTCATCTGCCCGCTTCCTCGGCGCTTTGTACTGATTCTCCAGATCGTTTGACATGACGTCCAAAGCTTTGGCGGTGCGCTTGTAGACCAACAGATTCTCGCCTTGCATCAAGGTCCAGGATGCGCAGCCCTCGAGATCCACCGATGAGTTGAGATTGTCAAAGAGCAAAGTGATGCGATCCGGAGCGACGCTCAAAACGGTAGCGGTATGGATCTTGGGCTTCTGCTTCTTCTCTTGAGCTCCCTCTAAGCTCTCCTTCTTGTACTCGGGCTTGAGAGGATGAAAGGCCTTTGGGTCTTCGGCGGATGGAAAGAGCTCGCATAGGTCTCCTTGTGAGAATCTGCTCCAACCAAGCGGTGCTCTGGCTGGACGGGCGAACACAGCTACGCGCTGACCGTACCTCTTGCTGGCTCTCCAATAAGCGGTCAGACCATCCATTGCTTGACCAGTTTCGCAAAGTCGTCCGATCGTCCATGATCGTCGATCTCGCAAAGTGCGCTGCGTAGTTGCTCTTTCCAAATCCAGAAGCTGCAACTGCGCTTCGCGATAGACCTGGATCTCTTGCAGCAACCTTTCCCGCTCTGGCTCGTGATCCCGGACGCCCTTGACGATGGAGCTGGAAGGGCTGACGCGCGTCCTTGGCGTCATTTCTCCACCTCTGGACTCTGCTCTCTTTCTCCAATCCCAGCGCTGCAGGGTGTCAATGGATGCTGACACAGAGGATGGATCGGTCAACACCCTGGCGGTCCACGTCTTTGTGGCTGGTCTGGACACGGTCCGCGTATAGCTGGGAGTCGAGGGCGTAGAGGGTCTGGAGTAGAATGGCATTCCCTGCACTTCGGGCTCGCGATGGTCGTTCCACGTGGACAAGTCAGAGGCCATGAGGGACCAAGGATCTTCCCACGAATGCTCCCTCGTGGCAGTACGTGACCGAGATGAGGAAGAAGATGCAGAGTGTCTCCAAGCCTGGGCATCGGTGTCGCTTTGCCTGGCATCAGAAGACTCGTCGATAGCTGATGCAGCGCTGTATGACCTGAAGTGGTGATGCGAGCATGATGATGGCGATGGCGATGCTACCCCGCCGCTGTTTGGTGTGACTACATGTTTGGAGTCGAGCGTCGAGGAGAGCCGTCTAACTAATCTGGCGCGAATGATGGATGGAGGAAGAGCGCTGCGATGCGGCGCTCGCTTTGCAAAGACGAGGGAGAGAGGATGGGGGAGGAGAGCGAGTATCGCAGGTGACAAAGCTCCTTGAGAAAACGTTTGCAGGAATCAGCTATCCGTCGATGCCACTCCGTTGCCCTTCTTCTCCTTTGTGCTCACCACCGATGTCGACGGGCGTGCAGCTGCGCGAAGATGCGGATGCGATAAAAGACGCTGTGAGTGTCAGCACCGAGTGTCCTTTGGCCGCGAATTCGATCAGGGCAGCGAAGCTGATTGAGACGTGTGAGTGTGTTGTAGCGGGTGTATCACGCACGTTTGCTACATCAGGGATGACATGAAAGAGTGATGTGCAAAACCAAGTCTGGTGTCGAGTCTTGAGCGTGTGCGAACGTTGCGGACGACTTGGAGATCACAAATTCCTTGTCCCGTGGCGGTGGCGCCCGCGATGCTACAAGCTGCAGCTGAGAGACTTGTTCGTGACTTTGACTCACTCACCTCACCTGTTCACATCTCGCGCGGGAGATACTCTTGCGCGCCACACTCATCACTGCAGCCAGCAGCCAGCCGGCTCGCCGCCGTGCGCGTTCTCATGGGCCGCTTGCGCGTCTCCACTTTGGCGGGCAGCGATGTGCACGCACCGCACAGACTCGCCCTCTCTCGCAAGAAGCGCAACAGCCTCTCCATCATCACCTTTTGCACTTACACTTGCTGACCTGGCAACATACATTGGCCTCATTGGGAGCTAGACCTCGCTGCTCTACATCGCTTGCCTCGTCTGCACTTGCCTTAGCCGTCTGCAGCGACCTCACGCGATATTGTACAGCAAAATCTGGTTCCAGCTCTCCGTCATAAGATCACAAGGATGGCGGACAGCAGCGCAGTGCCCGCTGCAGGCTCCTCAAATGGTGCTTCAAGCTCGCTAGCACCTGGCGACCCTCGCAAAGAGGGAGCGCTCAAGTCATACAAGAAGGCTTTGAAGCAGCATGAAGATCTATCGGAGGGGTTAAAGAAGCGTGAGTGTGATGATTCATCATCACGCGTTCACAGCAAAGCGGAGGGCATAGTACTTTCGCTGATATCATCACGCTCAATCCACACGCGACAGTGCGTTTTGGGCTGCGTGATCTGGAAAAGGACTACGACAAGACGGAGGATGATATCAAGGCTTTGCAGTCGGTGGGGCAGATCATCGGCGAAGTGCTGAAGCAGCTCGACGACGAGAGGTGTGAGTTGCAAGCGCAAGCGTAAGCCTGGCGATGCACATCCTGCTCATGCGCACGTTCGCGTCCCCGTCCCGTAGTCATTGTCAAAGCATCCTCAGGACCTCGTTACGTGGTTGGCATCCGCTCCACTGTGCCCAAGCACAAGTTGAAGCAAGGTGTGCGAGTCAGTCTCGACATGACCACCCTTACCATCATGCGCATCCTGCCACGTGAGGTCGACCCGTTGGTGTACAACATGAGCATGGAAGACCCCGGTGATGCCAACTTTGCTGGTATCGGTGGCTTGCAAGAGCAGATCAGGGAACTGAGAGAGGTAAGTCGGGTGCGCGTAGGCTAGCATGGACGGCTTCTTATTGGTGGTAGTACGCTGGCAGTACGCAGCCACCCGCGCTAGCCAGCTGATGCCTCATTAAAAAAGTTCAGAGCTGACCCGCCGCTTCTCGCTTCGTTTGTGTAGGTCATCGAATTGCCTCTGCTCAATCCAGAACTTTTCTTGAGAGTAGGTATCAAGCCCCCAAAGGGCGTTTTACTGTACGGACCTCCGGGTACGGGCAAGACTCTGCTTGCAAGAGCAGTTGCAGCCACGCTCGACACAAACTTCCTTAAAGTTGTTTCAAGTGCCATCGTCGACAAGTACATCGGAGAGAGTGCCAGATTGGTGCGCGAAATGTTTGGCTATGCCAAAGAGCACGAACCTGTGAGTCGGATCGCGTGGCCGATCTCCAGGAGACTTTACAGAAAGCTGTGCCTCTTTGTTGAGAAGCAACGGAGGCTGACTCCGACTAAGCCTTGTTCAGACAATCATCTTCATGGACGAGATTGACGCTATCGGTGGAAGGCGTTTTAGCGAGGGCACGAGTGCAGATCGAGAGATCCAGAGAACTTTGATGGAGGTGAGTGAAGGCAAAAGCGCGCGAGCACCGTGATCGGCGACTGACGTCCACCTCTTCATGCTACATCAATCTGTAGCTTCTGAACCAAATGGACGGATTCGACTACCTTGGCAAGACAAAAATTATCTTTGCTACGAACAGACCAGACACGCTCGTGAGTCCGTGATGATGAATTTGTTCTCCTGTGGCAATGAGCTGACACCAGGCACGCCCGTAGGACCCTGCTCTGATGAGACCAGGTCGTATCGACCGAAAAATTGAGATCCCATTGCCAAATGAAGTGGCGCGTTTGGACATCCTCAAGATTCACGCGAGGCCTGTCGCTAAGAAAGACGAGCTGTGAGTGGCTTGCAGTCCGTATGTCCGACGGCTGCGCTCGATCTGCCCCTTAGGCTCATGTTTTGTCAACGCCATCCTACAGTGACTACGAGGCTATCGTCAAATTGTCTGACGGCTTCAACGCTGCAGATTTGCGGAATGTGGTAACCGAAGCGGGCATGTTTGCCATTAGAGATGACAGGTGCGTTCCAATGACGCGATTACTGCGCTTCAAGACGGTGGCCCTGCACGAGATGTGATTTCACTGCTGTACTCGTGTGCTGACATCGAGCATCTTGCGCATCCACGCAGAGATTACATCATTCAGGAGGATATGGTTAAAGCAGCTCGAAAGTTGACCGAAGCAAAATCCCACGAGAGCGCTGCAGACTACGGCAAGAACATCTGAGAGATAACGCAGTCTCATACAAAGCTTGTCTCGCCCACCAATGACATCATTGTGATATCGAAAAAGTGGACATGTGCTCATGACGACAAAACGGTGCGAGATGAAAAGTTCGCATGCGCGACAATGGGTCTCAGACGGAATGGCAGTGGACACAGCGAGATGCAATGCATTACAAGAGCATCAGGTATGATACTGGAGATGAGCCTGCGCAAAGAGGGGATAGAAGTTGCCAGTTCGAGATGGTTCACGCGGATGGCAGGGACGTGGGGGGACGACGGTGAATTCTTTAGTCGATCACGATGAGGCCAGGTCCAGCGAAGGTGCTGTTGGTGACCGCGGCGGAATCGGCGAAGGGACCGTTGTTCTTGACCAATGCAGCGACGGTGAGGCCGTTGCTGAAGTTCTTCTTCTCGAAGGGGAAGCTAGCCTCAAAGGTGGTGGAAGAGCCTTGCTTGTTGACATTCTTGACAGCAACGACGACTGGCTTGTTTTGGCCGCTGATGTAGGCCAAGTGAGCACCGTTGAGATCCTTCTTGGTGTTGGTGGTGAACTTGAGCGAGGTGGAGCTGCTGCTTGGCTGAACACCCTTTGCGAGCGAGAGCTTGTCGAAGCTGGGAACACCGATGGACGAGACGTTGGAGTTGGGTCCGCAAGAGTCGGGCACGATGAACATTTGCGCAACGGCGTTGAAGGCCAACGCACCGCTAGCAGCGGTCAAGAAAGGGCTGGAAGAGGGCACCTTCTTCTGAATGAGCCTGTACGCTCCATCTTGCTGACCCTCCTGTCCGATGATGGAACCGAGCAGGCTGACGAGACCCTCGGCTGACTGTCCACCGTCGACGGCAAAAGTCTTGGAAGCTCCTTGCAGAGCACCCACAACCAGGTCGGTGAAGGTGTTGGCGAGCACAATGGCCGACTTGAAGTCGCTTACTGGGAACTTGTACTCGCAAGCTCCGATCGTCTTTGCGCCAGCGGAGGACAGGATCGCGTTGGCGCCAATGGCGTGCAGCTCCTCTTGCTGTTTGCAAAAAGGATTGAGAACGACGAGTCAGAATTCTGGAAAAGGGACGCTCGGTGCAATATACCAATACTCACAGCGCGGATAGCCTTCAAGCTGGCAATGACGTACTCGCGGGACTGTCCGGCAAAGTCGGTGTAACCCTCGACGTTGTCGGTGACATTCTTGAGCAAGCTCGAGAAGTAGGCGACCTCGAAGATCTCGTTGGTTGCAATGACTTGAAGCGTTTGAATAGAGTCGGCCTTGAGCTTGGTGGGCAAAGGCGTATTGGGGATAGAGCCACCGGCTTGCTTTTGGATGGAAGCAAGGGCTTGAGGGTCGGGGTTGGGGAAGCCGTTGGACAGAGTGAAGGATGGAGCTGCAGCTGCGCTACCAGCGGCGGCCAGAGCGGCCAAGAGGACGGAAAGGAATTGCATCGTAGCTGGCTGCTGCAGAATGGTGAGGAGAGTGATGCTGTAGCACAAAGTAGAGCTGAAGGTGATGTGGTGAAATGAAGCGGGGGCGAAAAATGTTGTCGACATATGGCTCCCCTCTATATAGCTTTGACCACCCTGCCATGACCCTGCATTCGGCTTATGTCAACGTTATACCCCGTTGTGAAGGAGTGCAGTGCACGAAATTGAGCTTACACTCATCCCGCGCACTTTGCAATTTCAAATGCCTGGCTCCTCGAGACCCCTTCATCTCCTGCGAAGCACCTGCAACCTGCTGGTAAGATTGATGATCGCAAGTCTGAGTCGGAGTGCACCCACCCACCATGTCACACGAATCAACGCCTCGATCGCGTTGCGCAGTCCTTATTGACGGAGAACGGCGCTCGGGGTTTTTGTCAAATCGCGGCATGGCGGCCGAGGGCTTTTCCCGTCCTCGAGTGTAGAACGTTCCTCAGCGCCCTGTCCGCCCAAGTTGTTCCGTCAAGGTCAAGCGAGTGTTCAATTTGGCCCTGCTGGGCCCTGCTGGGCGCTCATGACTGTCGTCAGAGGGGAATCTCTAACCGATGTGGCGCTACCGCTGAACAATCGTCATGGAGCCCGAGCATCAGACCGCTGGTCACTGATTGACAGTGTCGCGTCGCGCTAGATGAGAGACCCTGACTCAGCGGACTGTTGTTTGCTTTCGAAAGTGGAGGTGGTCAACTTGGCGCGCCGCAGAGAGCCACGTCACAATCGAGCTGCGAGCGGAAGAGGCACGTACCGGTACGGTACGGTACAGTAAGTAGGGTCACAGTCAGCTACAGTATTTCCCGAGTGCGGGATCGCGCAATCAGCTGATTCTCGACTTTGCATAAAGCATGCGACGCGCACCGCGCACCGGCCCGGCCCAGCTAGCAGCTGCTGCGCTTAGCGTCGAATGCGCGCTTTGGATCCCCCGCACGCGCGCAAGCCACCACAGCTGCATGAGCCAAATCGGGATCTCTTACATTCTTGCTGCTGGCCAATTGCGACGCGCTCTGCTTTCCTCCGCGCTTTGATGATCGACTAACTGACCAATACACACCCCCCACGCTCCCAACTCCTTAACGGCGCCAAGCTGTCTGGCGCAAAGGCCAGGTCGAGCGCGCCAAGGATGGACGAAATGTATCGTAAATCTCTCGTGCCGTGCGATCCTCGCCTATCGGCCCTTGCTCTTGGCTGATCAGATTGACCACCTCGCCGAGTCTTGGGAGCGGTGGTCCCACGCTTGGCGGTCGGCTCGACCTCTAACGAAGGGGGATTGCGCTCGAATTGTGGAGCCTCAAGAAGAAGCTTTGCATGAAATGTCAAAGGATGTCGCAAGGCGTCATGTCACCAGCATGATCCCATTTGAACCTCTTCTTCCACACCCACCCTCCAAGTCCCTTCTTGGCCCTCAGCTAGTACCATACTGCAAACGTTCCCTGCTGCCATTCGCTCTGAAAGCGCATCCGGTTCCGAGGTCCATCGATCGGAATGAGACTCCGCGATCGAGGTGCGGCTGCCGTTTCGGCACGCTCCCTAGAGCCGACTGACTGTCTAGCCTAGCGCGCAATCTAAAAATGACGTGGCGTGGATGCAGGGGGCCGATCAGTACGCCTGCAGCAGGGTCGCGCGCTTATGAGTTGCGCCGCTTTCCTCTCCACACAATCCTCACTTCACTGCCAAT